TATTGGTGTTCTGTTCAGGAAGTCTCCTTTGCCAATGAGTTCAAGGCAATTCCCACTTTCTATTCTACCAGATTCAGTGTATCTGGTTTTACGTTTATGTCTTTGGTCCTCTTGAAGTTGAGTTTTGTATAGGGTGATAGATTTGAAACTATTTGCATTCTTTTACATGCAAACATCATTTGACCAATGCCATTTGTTGAAGATGCTTTATTTTTTCCAGTGTATATTTTTGGCTTTATTAAAAAAAATCAGGTGTCCATAGGTGTGTGGATTTATGTCTGGATCTTCAATTAAATTCCATTGATCTATGAGTCTGTTTTTATGCCAATACCATGAGGTTTTTATTACTATAGCTCTTTAGTACAACTGAAAAATGGAAATTGTGAGTCCTCCAGCAGTCCTTTTATTATCAGGATTGTTTTAGCTATCCTGGGTTTTTTGTCTTTCCATATCAGGTTGAGAATTGTTCTTTCAAGGCCTATTAGTAATTGTGTTGGAATTTTGATGACGATTGCATTGAATCTTTAGATTGCTTTTGGTAAGATGGTCATTTTTACTATGTTAATCCTAATGATCCATGAGCATGGGCAATCTTTCCATCTTCTGATATCTTCTTCAATTTCTTTCTTCAAAGACAAAGTTTTAGCATAGAAGTCTTAAGTTGCTTGGTCAGTTAAACCCAATATATTTTTATATTACTTGAAACTATCATGAAGGGTTTTGTTCCTCTGATTTCTTTCTCAGTCCCTTTGGCATTTGCATGTAGGAGGTGTAGGAGGGCTACTTTTTTTTTTTAACTTAATCTTGTATCGAGCTACTTTGCTAAAGGTATTTATCAGCTGTATGAGTTCCCTGGTGGAATTTTAAGGGTCACTTATATATACTATCAGATCATCTGCAAATAATTATACTTTGACTTATTCCTTTCCAATTTGTAGAACCTGGATCTCCTTCTGTTGTCTTATTACTCTAGCTAAAACTCCAAGTACTATACTGAATAGATATGGAGAGAATGGAAAGCCTTGTCTTGTTCCTGATTTTAGTGGAAATGCTTTGAGTTTCTCTCCATCTAATTTGATGTTGGCTTACTGTAAACTGCCTTTATCATGTTTAGGTATGCCCCTTTTTCTCCCATAATCTCTTCAAGACCTTTATCTTGAAGGGATGTTGGATTTTGTCAAAGGCCTTTTCTGTATCTACTGAGATGATCATGCCACACAGGGATTTTATGGTAGATAGGAAGCATAGAATGAAGTACACCATCATGTGTGTGCCAGATATGCACACTTAATATTTGCATGCATTTGTCATTTCATTATTGCCATGTCATGTGGATTTGAGTATCTTTAGAGCTATTTTCTCACTGATAACTTTCCCCTTATCTTAAGTTTTACTGTACAGACTTTTACAGAACGATGGTTCTACTGACATCCTATATACAAAGTGATGAATTGTTCTTCTTTCACAGTTTCTCTTATGCTGTCTCTGTTTGTCTGTGTCCCTGGTTGGTGTTTCTTTTTTCTTTTTCTTTTTTGGTGGGAATGCTGCTGTTGTTGTTTCTGATTTTTGTCCACTTGACACAAGTCAGGGTTGTCTAAGAGGACAGAACTTCAGTTAAGGAGATACCTCCACAACGTTTGTCTTTAGGCAAGTCTGTGGGACATTTCTCTTGATCCTTAATTGATGTTGGAGGGCCCAGCCCACTATGGGAGGTGTCACCCTGTGCAGTGGTCCTGGGTGCTATAAGAAAGCAAGCTGAGCAAGCCATGGAAAGCAAGTCAGTCAACAGTGTTCCTTCATGGTTTCTGCTTCAGTTCCTGCCTCAGGTTCCTACCTTGAGTCCCTGTCCTGACTTCCCTCCAATACGGACTATCAAGTGTAAGGTCAAATGAATCCTTTCCTCCCCTGGTTGTTTTGGTCAGTGTTTTAGCACAGTAATATAAACACTAACTAAGAAAAATGCTGTCCTTATTCCTTTTGTTATTTATTTTAACATAAATAATACCTGGGTATCAGTGGGTAATTCCTACAGGAGAAGAAGCAGCTGGGCCTGGCAGACAATGTAGCCAGGTGCTTTCTACTCACTTCCATGGGGACAAATCTTTTGTTGGCTAATATGGAGTTTCTTTGTAGTGTATTCTGCCTGCTTCTCTTGTGACCTCAGAGCTCTCCTCCAGAGGCCCTCTGCATTCTTTCACTGGCCACATTACTTGGCAGACACCATTGCCCTGCTAAAACACTCTATTGATCAGAAGATGCTCTTCCCCAGGATCTGCCTCCACACGGTAGGTCCCTGAGCACTTTCATCATGGCCCCCACTGTGACTGCTAAACATCACCCCCGTTTTCAGTTTCTCCTCGACCCATAGCAATTCTAAATAAAGTATAGCTCTCTTACTTAGAGAGTTTGCAATTTCTAGAAACTTCTGATACCGTCTATTAACAGGTTCCTTCTCCCTCCATTTCTCCTGACTTTGAATGGCTTTGCCTTGTGGCTCTCTACCCAATCTTCATGGTGGTAATTGCTTTTTAGGACTTTTATAAGGGTTACATTATTTTTTTCTTTTTCTGTTTCATGATTTAGCTGAACATGCATTTTGTGATATGCTCCGTGTTTTAATTTTTTAAATTCTTCTCACCTCACCATATATGACTTTCCTGAGAAAAGGTTAACAAAACAAAACAAAAACCCCAAAGCTAGTACTCATAGATCGACCATGCAGAAATATGGATGATATTTTCCTAATTTTGAAAGTTACTAAGTTCAGAATGGAAATCTTTACGATGATTGATGCTCCAAGGATTCTCAAAAATGAAAAGATATTTAAACAGATATCCCTTCTTGGACTTTGCAGCACGGAGTATGCTCATTACAAAGCAGACCACATTTACAAAATTATTGTTCATTGTCAAAGAGACATTTATAGTCCCAACCAAAGCCACTAATTATCATGAACACTATGAGTTACTCTCACTGAATTGATATGGTAATAGACAAAACAAAGAAATAAGAAATTTTAATTAGTCTGTGCAATATTAATGCTCATGAATTTGCGATCTCCTCTTGGCTTTAACACACTGAAAACAATTTTAAGATGCCAAGTATCACCAATTGGCATGGACTCAGATCCAGGAGCTCAGGCTGTAAACTATGAACAAACAAGCTTTGAACTTTCTACCCTGTGAACTCTGATAGCTTTGTGGTTCATCTAAAAACCATCCAGTGTCACATAATGAAGACACAAACTTCATGAATTTCTGTATGATGGTTTTTAGAAGATAGACTTAAAGCATCAGAGAAGAACATTTAAATATCTGACTAATTAAATAGGAGACTTCTACACTGATGAAATTCATGGTCTTGATCTCTACCTCATCAGACATGCCAGTCTTCAAGAAGGAGTAAGCTATGAACAAGGAACTGATTGTGTGTTTTAATTTATTATCCAGTACTTTAAATGATGTAATAACATATCAAACAATGAAATGAAATTGACATTGTCAAGGTGGCACCGAAGCTCTCTTCTGCTCCAGAGGACTGGTCAGGACGACACAGATCAGACTATCTCTACTCAACACTTTCCTTTCTTACCATATGAGTGTGCCACCTGGAGGAGTCGATCACATGCCTTCTTTGGAATCTTGACTTTGCCATCAGTGTGAGGATGGAGAGCTGTTCAGGTTTTAGTCTACTTAACAGAAGCTAGGGTGAACGGGGAAGAGGGACCCTTGATGGAGAAAATGTTGCCATCAGATCAACTTGTAGGCAAACCTGTAAGGCATTTTCTCAATTGATGTGGAAGGGCCAGTGCCACTCCTGGACAGAGGGTCCTGGGGTAGAGAAGAAAGCAGACTGAGCAGGCCATGGGAGGAAGTCAGCAAGCAGCACTCATGGCCTCTGCTCCAGCTCTTGCCTGTGGGTTCCTGCTCTACTTTGAGCTCTTGCCCTGCTTTGAGCTCCTGCCATGATTTTCTTCAGTGATGAACTGTGACCTGGAACTGTAAGAGGAAATAAACCCTCCCCTCCCCAAGTTGCTTGGGTCATGTATTTATGATGGTATTGGGAAGCAAACCAGGACATATGGTGAGATGCATTACATTTTAAAAGATGTAGAGAAGACCTAGTACATTAGGGGCTGGAGAGACACCTCCGCAGTTAATGGTGCTTGCTGCTTTTCCAGAAGAAATGAGTTCCACTCTCAGCATCCATAGTGGTCATCTCACAACCACCTGTGACTCACACTCCAGGGGATCCAATGCCTCTGACCTTATCCACATAAGCACATAATCACATACACACAGATAAAATAGGATACATCTTAAGAGAGCTACTGTGTTCATTTTCAGCCCATATACTAACTTAAGAATGTGGTCAGAACTCAGTTAACATAAGAGTCACCTCTGATTGGTGGTTGTATAGATGAAGTCATCTGTTACTGCAGCTATTGCTTCTATAAAAATTTCCTTTGCACCTTTATGCATCTTGAATAGTAACCACTGTCTCATACATGTTTGTACAAACCTTGCCATGACTTAGTTTGGAATTTTCTGGGTGTATCTTGGCATACATGTATTATTACTTTTTATGTAGTCAGAATCATCACTCTAATCTCTAAGTTCTGGAATTTTTAATATTGTTGAGGAAATCCCTGCATTGCTATCTTTTAAACTCTGTTTTATGACTCTATGATTAGTGTGCATAGAAATGATTTTCATGTGTAATCTGATATGACAGTGCAATTAATTTTTCTGTGTCTTACTGATGATAAGGATCTCAGGGATTGTTGTATAGTCTAGCCTTCCTCACTGTTCTGAAGTTTCACTTTGTCATGCATATACCTTCTGTTCATGTACCACTCTGTCCCTGGATCTTCTTTTTCCTACTTGTCTGTTTGTTTATATTTATCCCAGTACTATTTTTTTTTACAACTTCTGTAATTTTATATTGAGCTTATGTAGTTCAGTAGCCTAATAATCTTCATTTTTAATTTTAATTTTCAGTATGATCCACTCAGATTCATTTGGAATCCTTTTGACATCACTGTGGTTGCACAGACTCTGCAGTCTACAGAAACCTGACCTCTTCAAGACATTAAGGTATTTATATGTGAAATATAATGTATTTATTGGTGTTTTTTCTTGCCTTTAATAAGTCTTTTTTTTTTCAATCCAAATGTATATCATTTTCTAAATACTTTTCTCCTAGTGGTGTGAGAGTTTGAACCTAGGGCCTCACATGTGCTAAAGACAGGTTCTGGTAGTGCTCTAACCTCCAGTGCAGAGAACTTGTTACTTTTATTGCTACCACAGCAGTATCTGTTCATACTTACAATTAGTTTAAGCAGCATCTATCATTGAATATAACAATTTATTTCTATCTCAATATTGATCTCCTATCCAGTGAGCTTGCTAAACTGTTCCATTAAATGTAAAATTCTTAATTTAATAGTTAGATGTCCATGTGGATAGTAAGAAAGCGTATGATCTGCTAGTCGTGGTACTTTTCTCTTTCCATGTTTCAGAAATAATATTTAATAATGCCAACAAATTGTTTAATTTGGAGTATTTGTAGCCTTTCAGGGAAAACATCCCTGAAGAAACCAATTTTCCTAATCATCCATCAGCTGTCATTAGCTCTAGCTAGGGGTAGGACTTCATGAGGACCTTTCCATCCATGCAGGGATTTTGGGTAGTTCGGTGTGTGTGTGTGTGTGTGTGTGTGTGTGTGTGTGTGTGTGTGTGTGTGTGTGTGTGTGGTGTGTGTGTGTATTTTATATATGCATCACAGCTTCTGTGGGCAATGGCCTGTCATATCCTGCAAATGATGTTTCTCTACAGACATCTGTCTCTTAAAAATGTGTTTACCTCCTCTTCCATGAGAATCCCTGAGCTTTTTGTGGAAACAATGTGGTATATATGTCTCATTTAGAACTGAGTACTCTATAATCTCTTATTCTCTGAATGTCAACTAGTTCTGGGTCTCTGTATTAATCTCTATTTACCTCAGAAAGACTCTTTGATGAAGGATATGAGATATACTAATCAATGCATATAAAGATAAGAAGTTAAGGTGCAGTTTAATAGCATGTCCATTTAGCAGAATAATAGTACTGGGTTCTCCCATAGGGCCTATCTCCCAGCTAGCCACAAGTTTGGATCCCAGTTATTGTTACCAGGCATGGATTTCATCTTGTGAGAGGGATTTAAATCCAATAACAAAGGGGTTGGTTACTCCCATGATATCTGTGCCACTATTTCACCACTGGACATATCTTACCAGGCCAGTTGTTACTTTAGCTGGAGGAGTTCACAGCTGGGTAATACTGTTGAATATTTTCTTCCACACTACATAAATGGAACCATCCAGCTCTAGAAAAGCTAGCCAGTGTGAATGAAGTTTCGAGGACAATACAAGTTTGATTTCTCTACTTCCCATGACTCAAATGCATGGTGTCTTCAACAACATGGCCTTATCATCAAGTTCTGGGGGGCGGTAACAAAAAGCAATGGCCTCCGTCTGTACTCTTTATGGCAGAGGGTCTATTGTACCCCACAGATAAACAACCTGAAAAGAGGTAGTCCATACCTGAATTTTTTATTTGATAGCCTGTAGTGTCTATGATTGACAGTATCCTCCTCATAGAGCAGCTTTATTTAAAACTTCCTTTAAACATTTATATGTATATATTTTAGGAAGCTTCTATAGGAGTAGGTTTCTATGTGATAGTATTTGCAAACATTTTTTTTTTGTGTGTGTTAACTATCCCCTTCTCATTCTCCTCCTTCTACCCTGCTCTCCCACCTCTACCAGATTTAACCTTTCCTGTTGTATTAATCCCATTGTCCACTTCTTACTATCTGCCTTCTATCCCCCTTCCCTTGAAATACCCTTGTCATAGCCCCTTGCTAGTTTCCCAGCTTCTGTGGGCATTTCATTTGGATATGTATGCCACCTTTTCTTTATAATAGAACATCTGTGGCCAAAAAGACACTCTAAGGACTTCTTTTCAAAACAAAGGCATTTTCTAGTCCTCTTCTACACCAACAGGTCCCAGCTTTAGGTCAGCAGACTCACTCTCCCATCCTCATGTTTAGTGAGCTCAGCATTTGCCCTCAGTCCCATTGAGTATCCTGATCACATTCCTCAGGTGAGCAGACTACCTCCATATGAGAACGTGAATACAAGGGCTTAGTGGTCACCCTGTCCCTATGAGTATCATTGCCTAGTGCCTAGTGTTCTTCTGTTTGTAGCCTTAGAGACTTCTATCTTGTCAATATCCACATACTTGAGTTTACTACATTTTATTCAAGATTTCCTGGAGTTTGTTGGGGAGAAAATGTTTATATATATGTATGGGGGGGCCTTGAGGGTCTGAGCAGAAGGCCAGTTTTGAAACTCAGCCACAATGTTCTCATGAATGAAACGGAATTTACAAGTTTTCACAGAGCAGTCAGAACACAGGGATGCTTTAAGCTTATTAGACTCTAAATAAGTATCCCAGAACAGATACCATCTCTCCTCTCCCTTGACATCCATTCTGTAAAAACAGGTAAATAAGAATGGGAATCATATCCTATAACTGTAGTATACATTTTCTTCAGCTTTAAAATCTGTTACAAATATAACTTTCAATTGTAAGTGAACTATTCTCACTTCTATATAAATATAAATACCAGTTGTCTGTATTCATTTACTAAAGTTAAGAACACCGCCATGTGGTCTGTTGAATAAATTAATGAACGGGAGGTGAATGTCTGTGCATTTTTATTCTGTTCTGTGCTAGTTAGCTTTCCAGTGCTATAATAAATATGACCAAAAGCAATATGGGAGAGGAAAGGATTACTGCAGCTAATTCCAGGCCACAGTCCATCATGTAGAGAAGTCAAGAACTAAGCCAGAAACTAATGCTCAACTCCTGCAGAATCACAGCTTACCAGCTTGCTCTCTGGCTTATGCTCAGATAGCTTTGTTATCCTGCCTAGGGACAGTGCTGCCCTCAGTGAGCTGGAGCCTCCCACATCAATCATCAGGGGATAGTTATCCACTGGCGAAGGGAATTCTTCAGTTATGTCTTTAACTTATCACAGTCCACATACAGAAAAGTCTATCTTTTCACATGAATTAAAAGAAATTCCTATTTTCCACTCTACATCCTACTTTTAATTTTCATCACATCTTACTTTCATTACACGTCCTAATTTTAATTTTAAATTTATCATTGCTGTTACCTTTCCATACTCCTTTTCTTTTAGTTTAGATCGACAGGCAGCAATGTCACTTTGGTTTTCCAGAAAACTAGTCTATTCAATTTGCAAAGGTATTTTCACATGATGTGTAGGATTGTTGGCTTTTAGGTTTTTCACTCTGCTCAGTAAGTATATGGTTGGATTCCCATCTCAATCCGCAGTTCCTGGTAATTTGGTCTCTTTGTCTTCCTCTATATGTCCTTTTTAACATTTGATTTTGGGGTTTCTTCTGAAAGTTTTCCTTCAGTTTCAACTTCAGTTTCAAACTGACTATAGCAAGGTTTCAGTTTGTGTTTTAATTCTGCTATTCATTATATAAGCTTTTTAGATTTGAGATTTCTTTCTTCTTTCCTTCCTTCCCCCTCCCTCCCTCCCTCCCTCTCTTCCTTTCTTCCTCCCTTCCTTCCTCCCCCTCCTCCCTCCCTCCCTCCCTTTCCTTCTTTCTTTCTTGCATTGATTTTGTGAAGTTCCTGGCCATCGCGCCACCAACAATATCCTTCCTTCCCTCTTTTTTGTCTCAATTTGAAATCATAATTAAATGACAGAGAAGCCTTTGACAGAGCTCATGGAGTGTTTCATATTATTTCTTTTCTTTCCTGGTGTTTTGATTTGTTACCTTTCTATCCACTTACCTTCTATGTAATTCATGTTTTTCCTCTAGCCTTGTGAGTTTTGAGTCCAGTTTCCCACATGTCCCAGGAAAAGCCTCTTCCCCTTAGCCCATACACCCACTTGACACTTTCTACCAGCTTCTGTGGGTGAGGGGGGGTTCCCATGTATCCATGATCATTTCCCACTGCAGCTGGCTGTATAAATGGCTCAGTGTATGCTATCTGCTGAGAAGCTAGCCCGGAGGGTGGGGCATCCCCGCTTCCATCCTAGTCATGTTCTGGTCATGTATACTTGGATTTTAGAAGCTCAGTTCTTTTCCCTCTGCAGAATAACCAGTCTCTGCTCTCTCTTTGAGAGAGGTCTAGGACTGTGCAATTTTGTTCCTCTCCAGTAGCCACCAAGCTGCCGCCTCTGTTCATGTACAATTGTGTCAAGTGACTCTCCTGTATTCTTTTAATGGGTGCATTTTAGTTCATAGAATAGTGTGGTGGGGACATCAGTCTTCCCACATGACTGAAGTTTCTGATCATCTGAGACTAGCCCACAGTAGCACCTCTCAATGTTCCTGAGGTGATGTCACTTGTCTGGTGTGAGGGAAAAGTTCACACAGTAAGCATCTTTCTGCCTGGCTCCCGGCAGCAGCTGATCACGACCCTCCTAGCTAGGCAGCCAAATGCAGCTTTTCATATAAATGTGTATGGGAAGGCATCCCTTTCTGCTCTTAGCCTCCCCCAGAAGCATTCCATGGAGGCTGCTGCAGAAATGAGCAAGTTCTCTGGGAATTTGGGTGCAACTATATATTCCAAATCCAACCACACCATCTCGCTCAAAGACTGTGTTCCTGGAGACTGTTTCATTGACTGATTAAGGGTGCTACCACTTCCTGTAGTATCCAAAATGAAACCATCTCTCTCCCTTCAGCCCTCTGAGGTGCTTGTCACATATTTGAATGTGATCTGTGTGATTGCTTTGTGCTTTCAGGAGCCTAGTATATGAATCTTTCAGGCAGCAACATCTTATGTCTGTTACTTTCCTGTTACTATGACTGACAGACAGCAACTTAGGGAGGAAGGGTCTGCTTGGGCCCCTGGTGGGAAGGGTCAGCCCATCATGGCAGGAAGCACATGTGGCTTTGCAAGCTGCAGCTGAAGGACAAGAGATGGGTGCTCCCATTGCTTCTGTGGTTAGGAAGGTCAGAGCCCACCTTGTCCATTTTCCCTGGGACCCCAGCAGGTGGA